CTTTCTATGATCTGGATCTGTGACCCTACTTAGTTATTGGGATTCTTAAGTAAAGTCTATGAAACTATTGAGTATAACTGTACAAGTCATACTGAAGTTGTTGCACAAATGTTGAAGTTTGCTTTATGGAACTTCGTTGCATATGTATAGGCGAGGGATGCGTATTATAATGGCAAGCCTTTGATACTTGATGACATACATGCTTGACAGAGTTGAGGTAAGATAATTGTTACTTCTTATGATACACTTTAGGTAAATATACAGCGAGATACCATTGAGGTAAGATTCTTGTATGTCATGCAAGTCAACCCTTGAATTTTATAGATGATTGAGAAAGACGCTTTGTTCATTCATCTCAATTCAGCTTTAGCCTTGTTGCTTATTGATTGCCTATGCATTTGCAGTTTTTTGCTGATATTGCTGCTGATTAGTTTAATCCAGTCCTGAAACTTGCGTTTATATCAGACTTGGTTTCTGTGATCCCAAAACTCTCATTATACAAAAAGAGCTACTTATGATTTGAAAAAGGTGTTTCTATTAGTTTTCAGAGTCTCCTTGTTATCTTTGTAAAAGTTACTCTCTTTGCTGCTTTATAAACTTTTTAGATACAGTATATAGTTATGCATATTGTAGATTATACAACGAGGATAGATTTTACATCTCTCATTCTTGTTCATACAAATCCCAGAGAACCTGGTTAGTTTTCACTTCTAGGTTTTATGTTTCTTTTGTAACGTGATGGTGTTCGTATGGTTTGATTCAAGCTTTTGCTATTTCATATGCAGATTTTACATCCTCCTCTCTCTATATATGCATTTGCTTACTGTAACCGACAAAGAGAGGCTAAGAAGACGTGGAGAGATATTATTAACAAGGTTTAACATCATTCTCTCTCTCTCTCTCCTTTTTGCTTTATTTCAATTTTAACACCTGCTCTACTTTCAGCTACATCACATATAGTTAACACCTGTTAGGGCCTATATGTTTGCTGAAATTAAACTGTTAAAGTCAAGTTCACACTTCACATGATGTTATCATGATGTTATTTCAGTTCAATTTCTTCAGTTTCTTCTCAAATGGATTAAATGATTAATTTCCCTTTTTGGAACTTTTTGACCTCACAGTTTGAAGGACTTCAAGGAATTGGCAGGGGTGATAAACAATGTTTGAGATAAAGCGTTACGGTAGTTGTTGCATCTCAAGAAGACATTGATGCAACAAACAAGGAATGCTAAAACTTTTTCACGGTCCAATCAAGAATAACTCCGGTATGGTTCACGGTACAACTCATCAAATTTCGTTGTAGTTAAAGCATTGGCAACCTAATTCTAAAGCCATTGCCATATAGTATCCATGAATTACTCTTTACATTTATAGTCCACTATTACACGTAAATTTTTGTTTTTGTTTGTTAGATTGTTGTTAAGAATGTTTAAATTTTGTGATAACAATAGTAATTAATTTAACATCTAAACGAATTAATGAACGTAATTGTTTGAACAAAATTTAATAGTTTCTCATGAAGATTACTGGTTACATTGGACTTATTAGTTTTCTCATGAAGATGCCTAAATTGAGCTGGTACACAAAACAAAAATAGGTATAAACATATATTTATTGTTTCAAATGGCGCTAAAAATTGATCTTTAGGCTAAAAATGCTATAAATATGAGTTTCTGAATTGTTGTTCACTAAGGTATGACTGCCAAGGACTATATTCTTCGACTTCTAAATATGTTATTCTAATTTTAACAACTAATTCGTGTTGATTAGTGTTTTTAGATGACTTCTTCTACTACATTATGTATGTGTTTCAGATAGTAAGTACTATTTTACGTTTTTATAAGAAAAGAAAATAAATATTTTACTCACCTAATACGTAAAAAACGAGAGCAGCAATTAACTCCATAGGAAAAACTATATATATTGGTTGTGTTGTTATTCTATTATTCGAAATGCTACTTCTGTATTGGTCTCACTATACGATTCAAATAAATTGTCTCAAATGTCATGTTAATCACTTACCCTGTTTAACTACAATGAATTGTATACTGGTCTTGATAAATGTAATGTTTTTTTAAACAAATGATGAACTTTATGTTGGACAAAATTGCATTACCAGGCATGTTCAAACATGATACATAAAGTTGATAATAATAATTTATCTATAGAAATAAAACTATACAAGATATAAAACAATATTTAAAGAAAACAAAAACCAATTAATAATAGATCAAATATATTAAACTCTTAACAAATTACAAAAAAACAGTTTTGAAAAAAAAACCCGCGCGTACGCGCCGGTATTCCCCTAATATATA